CAATATACTTTAAAAAGTGCCTTGTTTTTTAAATCCACTTCGTCCACATACAGATGCGCTTTTACGTTAAGTACCAAGTACTGCCCAAAGCCATGCCCACTTAGGTACAACGCAAACAGACTATTAACATCCCTTCCAACAGCTAATACAGTTGTGTTGAAACATCAATCAACTCACATTTTCTCTTTCGCTTGGCAGGATAGCCACATTTGCCACAGGTCGACTTCTGAAGGTGGTAGGCCTTCGAGCCACAGCGGCGGCACAACGTGTGCGTCTTATTGCGACGCTTTCCAAACGATGACGTCCCCTTCGTCTGCAAAGGGGATGAACGATTCGGAGATCTAGTAATTTCTATATGAATTCCGATGTTTTCAGGATAAGAAAATTAACTCTTTAAGATTTTTAAAGACAATCTACGGCTGAAACTGCAGCGGAAGCTTCTAACTTTTTAAATGCTAAATTAACTACCAGCATTTCACGTTACCTAAAGCCTTCTACAAGGGTTGCTGTATTTTGAAATCAGCTACGTTTTTTTTTTTTTTAAAGAAAAAACAAGTCGCAAGACGAAATAAGGTGGTGGTTTTCCTACGTATTCCGACCCCCAAAATCTAAGAGCTCCTGCCAGGTTTCCCCTTCAATGAATTCCTTTGTTTACAGAGCCAAACACTCCCAAAACATGCTGCTTTTTCCAGTTCTCATCCGAGGACAGGGCTGTGGGAGTTCCCCCAAAATCAAAGGGAGCAAGGGACCGAGAGTGGCGCCTGCTCCACGGATGCAGACTGAGTACCCCAGTTACAGTTAGGAGCCATTCTACTGGCCCCGTTGCTGCCCACCCGCTCCCCTTATCAGGAGCCTTGCCGGGCCCCTAAGGATGGCAAGGGGGACAACGCAGAGGATGAGGATGGAAGGCGATTCCATGAACCCTTGGAAGAAACTCACCATCTTGTTTCCGCAACCGAGACCAAAGAGGCCGGAAAAGAAGGCACTTCCGCTATATGGTGGCTCAGAAGCTTCCGCCCAGGAAAGTACTTCCGGCGGGACCGGTGCACCGTTCTCAAACGCCCGTAGCGCAGTGTGGGTGGGTCTAGAGGAGGATCCAGAGCCAGGCGGGGCCAATAAGGGTTTCAGGGCCGGGTGGCGGGAGGGCTCACAGCTTCCTGGTGTCCGAATGGGCGTGACTTCGTTGGACCCGCCTTGGCCGAGAGCAACGTTCACGCCAGACCTGCGTTCTTTGTGCGCCTGCTCCTGCTCTTCCACCTTCTCGGGTTCTCAGAGTTGTGGCCACACCGCAGATTTCAGTGGGGAACCTAGGGGTGCCCGTGCTGACCCTGCGCTACCGGCGTGAGGTGTTGGGTTCGGGATGGGACTGGAATCCCCAGCTGGGAGAAACTAGCGCTTCTGGCTAGACGCTCTTGGCTGAGCCGGTTCTTCCCTAGAGGTCGTCAGCGGTATGGAGAACACGGACCGGCCTCTGAAGAGCTGGGTTCCGAATCTAAAAACAAAGGCGAATCATGTTTTTTTCTAGCTGTAGTAATTTAGTGGCAAGTATTTTGATCTAAAATTATATTGTGTCAAGGGAACTTGTAGATGTAGTTTCCTGCACCCTGATGTGAGGAAATCTGATTTGGCCCCTTTAGGTAGGGCCTGGCAGTCTGTACTTAAGCACTTTTATTATTTAAAAAACATTTTTTAAGAGAGCACGTGAGGGTGGGGGAGAGGGGCAGAGGCAGGGAGAGAGAGAATCCCCAGCAGGCTCAGCTCGGGGCCCAACCTGGAGCGTGGTCCCACTACTCTGGGATCATGACCTTAACCGAAATCAGTATTTTGTTGCTCAACAGACAAAGCCATTCAGGCACCACTAATTTGTTTCGTTTTAAGCCTCTTAAGTTTGTAGGAACTTATTAGAACCGTAGTAAGAAACAGCACCTAATGCAGAAAGTTCCTGGAATTGCAGTTTAGTCTGGGCACTTAAATGTTGGCCTCCTCTTTATCCTTTGGCTGCTGACCCCTCATCCCCGATCTGCCACTATCTCGAGGAGAGACTGCCCTGTGAACATTTTTATTCCCAGCCCCTAGAAAAGAGTCTAGTACTTCTACAGCGACTGTTAACCTGTTCAAATTAAATGTCTGATTTCTAGAGTTCATTTTGTTCTGCTAGCAGTTATTCCATTACCTTTGCTAATATCTCACAAGTGACAGCCACTGAGGTGGCTCTAATGCCGTGGAGACCTACGTAAGCAAACAAATCTAAGCCCGTAAATGCCTCCACGTTGGGAAAGCAAAACATTAAGGAGAGGGTGCCTGGCAGTCAGAGCACGCGACTCTTGGTCTCAGGGTCTTGAGTGGGGCGTAGAGAGGACTTAAAAAAACAACGAACCAAACAAAAAACAAACACAAAACCACTAAGGACAACCAATTAAAACTAACTAGGCTTAAAGTTACACCCAGTCAAGTCCTTGCCTTTCTTTGCTTCTGCACTTTCTGTTTTCCCAGGCTTTTGAAGTCTGAGACTGCTAACCACTTCTGATTTGACACTGCCCTATTAGAATTCACTTTTTCTCAAACTCTTCAAAATTTAAATATGCCTCAGTTTATCTTTTAACAGCCCCTTGTGATTACATTGGCCCCACCAGATAACTTCCTTAGCTCAAGATCAGCTGATTAGCAACCTTAATTACATCTGCAACCTTAATTGTCCTTTGCCATGTAACCTAACATATTTATAGGTTGTGTTAATAAGGACATAGACACGGGGGTGGAGGGGGTGGCATTCTGCCTAGCACAGGTGTCTGAATAAGTGAGATTAGAAAAGGTAGGGCAGGTGGCAACCACTGAGGAACCAAAACAGTATGACTGGCACTGTGTGAGATTCTTTTTTTACTCTCCCAGTTGTAGACAGGGAAAGTGAAATATTTTTGCTCTTTGATGTAAAGTAGTTGTTTTTGGTGTGCTTGATTCCACGCTATTTCGGTCCTAGTCAGGTTAACCCTTAGCTCTGCAAAGCCAATTCAGAACCTCCAGGTTCCTGTCCAAATGCCATGTTTAGGTCAGGAGTAAATGAACTTCTGAAACATGATATATGCTGCTACCTAGGTATTTGCTCTATGACATGTTGCCTTTCAGCAGAGAATGATGGAGACTACGTAAACACTGCATCCATGATTCTGGTACAATCCAAGGCTCTTGACCACCAGAACTTGGCACTAGCCCTCCTTTCCCCCCCCCCACCTATAGTAAATGAAATTACTGCTGACTTTTCTTTCTATTTTTTAAAAGAAAATGTTTATTTTTGAGAGAGAGAGATTGTGACCAGGGGAGGGGCAGAGAGAAAGGGAGACACAGAATCCCAAGCCCAAGCAGGCTCTGTACTGTCAGCACAGAGCCCAACATGGGGCTCAAAGTCATGAACCGTGAGATCATGACCTGAACCGAAATCAAGAGCTGTCGACGCTCAACTGACTGAGCTACCCAGGTACACATTCAACTTTTAAAAAGAGTGTCTTGCTGCATATAATCTTTTGGGACTTAAAGTTTTCCCTTAATATATGGTTATCTTCTGGGTCACTGAAGGTCATTCTTTTTGAATGGTGTATACTGTTAATGCAACACTAGAGTTTATTTATCCAGTGTCCTGTTGATAGTTATTTAAATTGTTTTGTTTTCAGGTTCTTGTGAACTACATACCTATAAATAAAAACCACCCAGGTAGTTTTTTTAGAAAAATCAAAATGAAGTCTGCTAATAAAAACAAAAACTATGAAATATTAAAATAAACAGGAGTGTTTAAAGTAGAAAGTATGAATCCCCCTGTCATATCCTCAGAGTTAACCAGTGTTACCATTGGGCTATCTCTCTCCTGACTGTGTTCTTTTAAATCTATATCTACATATGCATATAATATATGTATGCTATGCACATTTTAATTTTTTAAACAAAAATGGGATCTTAACTTGCTATCTTTCATAATGATATATCATGGGTATTACTAGCTGTCAATATGTATAACTCACTTCATCCTTTTTACTTATTTATGTATTTATTTTTTGTTAAGTAAACTCTGTCCCCACTGTGGGGATCAGGATCATGACCCTGGGATCAAGAGTTGCATGCTCTGCTAAGCCTGACAGATGCCCTGCTTTCGTCCTTGTAAGCTGTTCTTTTCTGTTTCACTGTTGATGTATCAACATTTATTCCACAAATTCCCACTTTGTTTAAATCTTGGTTATTTAAAATTTTTCTGCTATTATAAATAATGCTGTCATGAAGATTCTTACACATGTATCTTTGGGCATTTGTCTGATTATTTCCTTAAGAAATTTTCTAGAAGTGAAATTGCTGAGTTGAAAGGTATAAATTTGTATTATTTTTTACTTTTAAAGTGTTTATATATTTTGAGAGAGTGTGTGTGTGTGTGTAAGCAGGGGAGGAGCAGAGAGAGGGAGAGAGAGAATCCCAAGCAGGCTCCATGCCCAGCACAGAACCTGATGACATGAGGCTCAGGAACTGAGATCATGATCTCGGCTGAGATCAAAAGTCAGACACTTAACCGACTGAGCCACCCAGGCACCCCTTAATTTGTATTTTTATCTATCAGCATTTATTTATTTATTGCAGCATATTGCAGGATTTCTCTCCAGAAAGAATTAATCAATTCATTCTTATCACGAATAGAGCTCCGGGCAGGGAATACCTAGTCCAAACTAAATTTCAGGAGAGACTTCTCAGAGGAATTGACACTGGGGCTGAGTCAAAATGAGACTGAGTCAAGTGAGCAAAAGAGCAGATAAATAATCTATAGGGAGGCAGGCCTGGCTGGGTTTAGGGCTGGCTCCACCCCCCACCCCCCACTTGTTTGTACTTGCCCTCTCCAATGCTAGATATCTTTGACCTGTTTAATCTTTGCTGAATAGAATTACTCTTTGCCATTTTTTTAAACCTGTATTTATTTACTATTGGAACGGTTTCAAAATCCATTTCCTGGTCTAGAGGACACAGGAACAATGGCTGCCAGGAGTGTTCCTTCAGAGATCATAGAAAAAGAACGAAAAAAGTTACTTGAAATCCTCCAACATGATCCTGATTCTGTCTTAGATTCGTTAACCTCTCGGGGGCTGATTTCTGAGGAAGAGTATGAGACTCTGGAGAATGTTACAGATCCCCTGAAGAAAAGTCGAAAGCTGTTAATTTTGGTACAGAAAAGGGGAGAGGTGAGCTGTCAGCATTTTCTCAAGTGTTTACTTAGTACTTTTCCAGAGTCAGCTACTGTTGGTGGCTTACAAAACGGTAAGTTGGATTTCTGTACTTTTTTGGGGGGCAAGAGTGACAAGGCAGATTCCCTGAAAAAAGAACATTATTGCCTTTTGTTTTCATTTGTCTTTCTCCTGGAGATAATTTTCACTAGCATATGAAAAAGGGGAAAAGTGTCTAGGATTCTAAAAGCAGGGAACAATGTATTTTATTGGTTTAGGGGATTGATAAATTTTTGTTCAAACTGTATCCAAAATTTGCGGTTTTTTAGTGCTAGTATAAACTGCTTATTATTCAATAAGTAAATTCATGGATATTTTACATCCCCAAGACCAAATGCTGCATCTTTCACTTAGTATAGCCATCTTGGAAATATCAGAAACATGATTTTGTAGCACACCTATATGGTGGATCAGTAACTTCATTTTTTTTCTGTGATAAGAATACCTGCAGAAGCCTACTCTTCTGAAACAATTCAAATGCTAATTCTTCAATGTTTAAAGATAATTAGTGGAAAATGAGGGAGTAATTCTTCCAGAATGGATTTTTTAGTGACTCTGTACATTACTACCAGAGACAGATGTAGCTCCTTTTTCTAAAAATCTAAAAAATATTGAAGATTATTTCAAGAGGTATTAGAGAGGTAGAGGTTCAGCCAAAAAGGTTCATGTTAACAGTCTGTAATGTAGGACAAGACCCATGTGCTTAGAGAAATAGATATTATTATTTCTAGAACTTACTATTCCAAATTAGAGCTATTTGCTTCCCAATTAGAAATTATTAGGATCAGATTTCATCAGCAACGGCCCTAGGAAATCTGACTTGGTTTTAGGTCACAGTAAATCCACAAGTCAGCACTATTCATAGGATTCAAATTTTCTGTTTCACTCATGTACTCTTTGAGTTTGCTATGAAGAGCCAAACTTTTGAGCAAGGTAGGAATGTGATCTGATTTTTTTCCAGTGAGAGAAAGAATGACAATTGACTTGTTGTTTGTCTGGGAGATGCTAGGTATTCTTATCCTCCAGTTTTGAAATAAAGAAAAGAGATGATGCTTCGAGGTCTTTTTGTTAATTTGAAAAAACAAAATACCCCCCCCCCCCCAACTTTCTTGTGCTTTTCAGAATTTTTAAAACATGAGAATATAGAACCTCTTCAAGCTATCGGGATAAGCAAGAATTCAGAAGATGTTTTTTCCTCTGGAGAGAAACAGCCCGAGAATCCTGAAATCACAGTGTCCTTCAAAAAGAAAGAACACCTGGATATGGGAATTTCTGAGTGCTTCAGGGACACGAAAACTACTTATAAGGAAGCTGCTTGGTCCTCAAGGGAAAATGAGGAGGAATACAACACACCAAAAGGCATATTGCCACATTTAGTTGAGAACGTTAAATATGAAATTCCAGCAACCATTGAGTATTTACAGGATGGACAGAGATACGAGGAGCCAGATGATTCTTTGTACTTAGGAAAAGAGGAATATTTTGAATCTGTTGGACACTCTGAAGATGGAGAAACCTCTGTGGAAGAAGAGGATTATAATGACTCAGAGCACGGTGTTTATGATGGCGAAGAGGGCGCTGCATATTCAGAGACCACACAGTTCTCTGATGAAGAACAGAGTTATGAGGATTCCGAAACTGGCATGTCATTCGCAGCGGAGGAGGAGAAAAGGATGGAAGGTATGGCCATACTATGTGGTAGTTGGGCCACAACTTATTTTTAGGTTTCCACGACACAATGGGGAGAAGGGGTAAGGAAAGGCACCAGAAAAGCAGCTACTCAGAAATTCCTTATGCCTCTCTAATTTGGAATTTCCTTATGGGTGGGGTTGACAGAGAGGAAGACCTAGGCCCTACAAAATGATGGACAATATAAGCAAAAATAAATACTGACTGTCAGCTTACAGGTTTCTGCAGTCACCTCCATGGTACATATAAGTTGCTAACCACTAACTTTGCTCAAATTAAGCCTCAAATTAAGCCTCTTAAGTCATTTCAGTGCCTTTGTGACCAGTCAGAGGGATATGGAGATTATGGGCCTAACTACTGAAGTGAAAATCAGAGAGGAGCTTATAATAATTGGATAAGATCCCAAAATATTGGTACTTGGCTTGATCCAGTCATAAATTATCATCTTGATAAGGGAAATTATATTGGTATCTTGAATTGGAATATTTCTGAATGAAAATTCAAAATGTTAGAAATGCTTCATTTGGAGAGATATTGTCTATGAAAATAAATATCACCAACTTCTGAGCAGAGAAGGGAAAGAAACATAGCTATTGTCTCACACTCAGTCCAAATCGTGGGGATCCATCATCCAGTTCTAGGTAGGAGAGGAGTAATGTCCTCCTCATCACACCTTGTATTAGTTTGCTACTGCTGCTGTAACAAAGTGCCACAAAGGAGGTAGCTTAAACAATAAACAACAGAAATGTGGCGTCTCAGTTTGGAGGCCAGAAGTCTGAAATCAAGGTTGGTTACTTCTGAAGGCTGTAAAGAAGAATCTGTTCCTAGTTTCTGGCAGTTTGTTGGACATCTTTGGCATTCTTTGGCTTGTAAAAATATCCCTCTCGTCTGCATTCATAGTTGTCTCCCTGGGTGCATTTCTCTAGGTCCCTAGGTCTCTAGGTTCTCTAGGGGTGCATTTCCCCTTTTTATAAAGACATTAGTCATATTGGATCAGGGCTCACCCTAATACTTCATCTTTACTAATTATATCTGTAATGACCCTATTTCCAAATAAAATCACGGAGGCATTGGGGGTTAGGAATTCAACATAGGAATTTGAGGGATACATAATTTAACCTACAACACAATTTTTTTTTCTTTTCAAATTTTTATTTGAATTGTAGTAAGTTAACATACAATGTAATATTGGTTTCAGGAGTAGAATTCAGTGATTCATCAGTTACATTCAGCACTCAGTGCTCATCACAACAAGTGCCCTACTAATAATATCCATCGCCCACCTAGCCCATCCCCTGCCCACTTCCCTCCATCAACACTCAATTTGTTCTCTATTGTTAAGAGTCTCTTGTGGTTTGTTTCCCTCTCTCTTTTTTATTTTTTATTTTCTCCCCTCCCATATGTTCATCTGTTTTGTTTCTTAAATTCCACATATGAGTGAAATTATATGGTATTTGTCTTTCTCTGAATGACTTATTTCGTTTAGCATAATACACTCTAGCTCCATCCGTGTCACTGCAAATTACAGTATTTCATTCTTTTTTTTTAATTAAAATATTTTAGTGTTTATTTCTTTTTGAGAGAGAGAGAGAGAGAGAGACAGAGCATGAGTGGGGGAGGGGCAAAGAGAGAGGGAGGGAGACACAGAATCCAAAGCAGGCTCCAGGCTTTGAGCTGTCAGCACAGAGCACCACGTGGGGCTTAAATTCATGAACCACGAGATCATGACCTGAGTTGAAGTTGGACACTTAACCTACTGAGCCACCCATATACCCCAAGAGTTCATTCTTTTTAATGGCTGAGTAATATTCCATTTACAACACAATTCTTGTTCCACCCTCATACCTTCCCAATCCATAGTCATTTTTAGGCCTCATTTTTTTTTAAGTTTATTTATTTATGCTGAGAGAGAGAGAGAGCATGAGCATGAGCATGGGATGGGCAGAGAGAGGGGGAGAGAGAGAATCCCAAGCAGGCTCTGCATTGCTGGCATGGAACCTGACACGGGGCTCTATCTCACAAACTGAGATCAAGACCTGAGCCAAAATCAAAAGTCAGATGCTTAAATGACTGAGCCACCCAGGCGCCCTAGGCCTCATTCTTAATTTTTAAAATTTATTTACATATTTCACTTATCATATAGGGTTGACTTAATTATTCACTGCATAGTATCATCATTATACTGTGAAAAGCCCCATGTCTTTTTGTTCCCTTTTTTCTTTATTCCCCATTCCCCTTATTCTATAGGTAACATTCTAATATTATGATGTGTTTCTTGCATGTTACTGTTTACTTTGTATGATCTTCTTTTCTATGTCAGTTATTTAGTGTAATAATAGAGCTTATCAAAATTCAGTTGCTTAAAACAATAAGTGTGTATTATTATTCATGTGTCTGTAGTTGGCTGGGCAGTTCCTCTGGTCTTTCCTGAGTTTTCTCATGTGTCTGTGGTCAGCTGGCTATAGACTAGTCTGTCGTCTTCTGGCAGTCTAGTCTGGACTTATCTCGGACTAGATGGGGGCATATTCTTATGGAGAGGACACAGGAGTATGAGAGAAGGCAAGAGGGAGAGAGAGAAAGAGACAGAAGAGAAGGCGTAGATTTAGTACTATCATGCCATCTGAATTAGTTTCCTAGGGCTGAAGAAAGCACTACACAAGGGTAGCTTAGGACAATGGGAGATTTATTGCCTCATAGTTATGGAGGCCAGAGGTCTGAAACCAAGGTGTTAGCAGGGTCAAGGGCTCTCTGCAGGCATTAGGGAAAGAGCTGTTCCAGTACTCTCTAGTTTCTGGTAGCCTCAGTTATTTCCTGGCTTTTTTATTTTTTATTTATTTTTTATTTTTTTATTTTTTTTTAATTTCCTGGCTTTAAATGCCCATCTTCTCTCTGTGTGTCTTCAATCACTTTCCCTCTGTTCATGTCTCTGTTTTCAAATTTCCCCTTTTTGTAAGGACACCAGCCATACTTCATGGGAGCTCACCCTAATGACCTCATTTTAATTTGACCTCTTTAAAGATTTTGTTTACAAATAAGACCACATTCTGAGGTACTGGGGACTTCAACACAATTTTTTTTGGGGGGGGGGGAGCACAATTCAACCCATAACACCATCACTTTTGCCACATTCTGTTGGCCAGAGTATGTCACACAAAGACAGTTGTGACATACTCAAGAGTTGGGGAAAACAGATTCAAGAGTTGGGGAAAAACAGATACCACTTCTTACAAAGTAATATTGCAGAAATCCAAAATATATCCAGAAAACCATGAATTGGGGCTATTTTTTGCAATTAATCTAGCACCTTTAGTAAAACATGTCAAGGAAAGTTTCAGTAATAATGTAGTTCTGACTTGCAATGTAATTCTAGTAGCTAACCAATCCAGTCTAGTTGGCTGGAGGCATGAGGCTAACTCTGTCTTTTTCCTCTGTAATATTTGTTTGTCTATGCAGCTAGGAACTCAAAAAAAAAAAATCCAAATGTATCTGATTCAAAGGAGAAACATCATTATGTTTTTTGTTATGTTAAATTTCATGACAAAAAAAAATCACAGTGTCAAATCTAAGTCTCAGGAAGGCTTATGGTGTTGCTTTGTGTGCTCTGCACTGTATAAGGTCAGCTTGTGTATAGACTATAGCAATCAGCTCCCTTCCCTTCCAACTTACAGTTGAGTTCATCCAGTGGCAGGAACCCATATATTTACCGTTTCCTGTGCCCTTTCTTCCTGAAGATCTAAGATTTAATGTGATGTTGTTTCCATTTAGCCTGAAGAATTTTTATTTATTATTATTATTTTAAAATTTCTTTTAGTGTAGGTCCATTAGTGGGAAATTCTCTTATTTTTTGCTTATTGAGAAATGTCTTTATTTTGCCTTCATTCCAGAAGGATATTTTTGCTAGATATTGAATTATAGATTGACAGGTTTTCTGCCTTCAGCACTTTATGGATGCCATTCCTGTCTTTTGGCTTCCATTGTTTCTGATGCTAAGTCTACAGTTATTTTATCATTGTTCCCTGTAAGTGTTATTTTTTTACTTAAAAAAAATTTTTTTTAGCAGTTGACTCTTATATAGTTAGATATGATTTTCTTTGTTTTTATCCCCCTTAGGATTTGCAGAATCTGTAAAAAATTTTTTAACCAAATTTGGAAAATCTTCAGCCATTATTTATCTAAATATATATTTCTGTCCCACTTGTTCCCTCCTCTCTTTCTGACACTTCAAGTACATATATGTTAAAGTTTTTATTACTCTTCCATGGGTTCTAAGGCTTTATACATTGGACTCAAATTCAAGAATTTCCTTTCAGTAGGTGGCAGCTAAAATCATTTCTTTTTGCCTTAGCTGGGGTATTTTCATAAATTTTAAGTTTACAAACATATATTGGGTTCTAGATATTATTGCTTCTTAACTTTTTTTCTTTTTATCCATTTTTGTGCTTGTTGATTGTATCATTGTTGCTCTGTATAATATTTGTTTACTCTGTTGCTTCTGGGTATGGTATCCAGATGAGCTCTGTAGTAGTCAGGAAAGACTAACAAGTCCTTACCTTGTCAGTACTTGGCCTGGGCTGTGTGGGTACCAGTTTTTGTGCTGAAGAAACAGAGGATTGTTGTCCAAAGGCAAAATAGGTGATAGGCAAGAGCAGGACCTAAAAGCTTTCCTGAAACCTAGCCTCTCACTGCCTCCCCTGGGAACCCTTTTTACTAGCCCCAACTCCTCCCTTACCTTCTTAGCCCAACACATATTCCACTTGAAGCAACTTTTAGTCTGTCCAAGGATTTCTTAGTTATCTTTGTTAATCCTTGAAATCCATACCTTTCTCTCACTTCTGTTGTTTCTTACCAGGCTAATTTTATAGGGGATCCAAGAAGCTTATGCTCGTTTGCCAGGAGTAAGTACTACCAGGAGTAAAAAAAAAGTGCTCTCTGACCTTCTTTCTCTAAGCACTATCTCTGTATTCCCAAGAAGTGGTTAGGAGGTATTTTAGGAAATGGGAGATTAAGAGAAAGTAGGTACAGCACATAAATTCTGAGGAAACTTTAATGGACATAAAATCTTTCATTTCTCCAAACTGTAACAAGAGATACATTTAAGAAAGAAATCAGGAGCACCTGGGTGGCTCAGTCAGTTAAGGGTCGAGCTTTGGCTCAGGTCATGATCTTGGGGTTTGTGAGTTTGAGCCAGTGTCAGGCTCTGTGATGACAGCTCAGAGCCTGCAGCCTGGTTCGGATTCTGTGTCTCTCTGTCTCTCTCTCTGCCCTCCCCACTCATCCTCTGTCTGTCTCTCTCTCAAAAATAAATAAACATTAAAAAAAGAAATTAAAAACCAGAAAGAGAGAAAGAGAAAGCAAGAAAGCAAGCAAGAAAGAAAGAAAGAAAAAGAAACCAGTATCGGGGTGCCTGGGTGGCTCAGTCAGTTAAGCAGCAGGCTCTTGATTTCGGCTCATGTCATAATCTCACCGTTCTTGAGTTCAAGCCCTGCATCTGGCTCTGTGCTCACAGCATGGAGCCTACTTTGAATCCTCTGTCTCCCTCTTTCTGCCCCTCCCCTGTACACACTCTCTCTGAAAAATAAACAAACATTAAAAAATATTAAAAAAACAAATCAGTATCATCCTAGAGAATTCCTCATACACGTGTGCATATCATGGAATATTAGCAAGGTTTTTCATCATTGCATACAAACATTAGCCAAAAAATTGGAAAACCTAAATGACCATCAGTAGACAATGGTTAAATAAGTAATGGTCCATCCAAATCATGAAGTACGATGGATTAGCTAAAAATGAATTAAGTCAATCTGTGTATGAACTGACTTAGAAGAATTTGCAAAGAATACCATTAAGTGAAACGAAGTCGAAGAATCATTTATTTAGGATAATATGATTTATGTAAAAATAAAATAGCATCCACTGAACCAAATGATATATTTCTCTGTGTTCATGCATTACCTATATACTTGCATAGAAAAAGGATGGGAAGCAAATATACGTAACATATTGGCATCTCTTAGAAGGAAAATGGAATTGGCAGACTGGCAAAAAGGAACTTTCACTATATTTGTATCGTTCCATGTTCTTACAACGAAAAAGTCAATTACTCACTTAATTTTAAAAGTCAGTGAAGGTAGCTTAGATTCTGAATGTGACATTCACTGAGTATCTTTTTCCCTACAGAAAGAAAAAAGGTATTTAAAGATGTCCTGTCATGTTTGAACATGGATAGGAGCAGAAAGCTTCTGCCAGATGTTGTTAAACAATTCTCCTTAGATCGAGGATGTATGTGGACACCTGAGGCTCCAGGAGACTTAGCCTGGAATTTCCTGATGAAAGTTCAAGCGCTGGATGTCACGGCCAGAGATACAATCCTCAGACACAAGGTTCTGGGTGAGGGTAACAAAGAGGAACTGCTGACTGGAGTAGAGAATTTGGAAATTAGAGACATACAAACCATTAATCCCTTTGATGTTCTTTGTGCATCTATGCTCTGTTCAGACAGCTCGTTGCAACGCGAGGTCATGTCAAACATGTATCAGTGCCGGTTTGCTCTTCCCCTGCTCCTGCCAGATGCAGAAAACAACAAAAGCATCTTAATGCTGGGGGCCATGAAGGGCATTGTGAAGAAGTGGTCAGCACAATCTTCAGGAGGGCCTACAGGGGATACAGAAAAGTGCCTGACTCTCATGAAGATGCCTGTCATCTCTTTTGTGCGCCTAGGATACTGTAGCTTCTCCAAGTCCAGAATCCTCAACACACTGCTTGTCTCTGACCAACTAAAATCACACAAAATCTTTCTCCATCAGGATTTTACTGGCCCGGTGTTTCCCCGGCAGATCTCTGACGGCCTGGTAGAGATAATGTGGTATTTTCCTGATAGCGATGGTCTAATGGAAAATCCTAGTGTTTTCCAAAAGCCTGTTGCTCTGGCCAACCTTCGTGGAGATCTAGAAAGTTTTTGGACACAGTTTGGTTTCTTGGTGGAAGTTTCCTCAGCTGTGTTTTTTTTCACTGACTACCTAGGTGAGAAGGAGTGGGACTTGCTAATGTTTTTAGGAGAAGCTGCCACCGAGAGATTCTACTTTGTCCTCAGTCCCCAGGCCCAGGAGAGTGAAGAGACACAGCTTTTCCAGACGACTCTGAAGTTGAAGCCATCACAGCTACTGTTTTGGAAGGGGGAGGCACCTGGGGAGACAGGGAAGAATATTGAGGGTCTTCAAGCTGCTCTCCAGGAAGTGATGTCCTCTTCGCTCAGATGTGTGTCTGTGGAGGACATGGGCTTCCTGGCCAGGGAGTTGGGAATCCAGGTAGACCAAGACTTTGAGAATGTTCAGGGGATTCAAACTCCCCCTAGTGAAAATTTGTCTGGAACAGCTAAAGATGAGAGACAACAAAGACCCAGTCAGTCAGAAAGCTCATGTGAAAGCCCAGCTGTGATGCCTGGAGAATCTGGGGCTAGCCAGAATCTCCAGAATTTCTACCTCCTCCCAGGATTCATGCCTCGTCTAGAAAACTGTCCTTTACCAACCAGAATTGGAGGGAACTTTAGCCACGTTTCTTTGAAAGCCCCCTGGGTTACGGGCTCCCACTTTTGGTCAGAGCAGAGGTCTAAGTGGTTCCGTCCCTGGCCCTTTCAGAAAACAAGGGCCTATGGTCGAGGTAAAAGTTTTGGGTTTCGGTACCTCCAGCCCCAGAGATTTTATTCACCTGAAAGATTCACGAAGTTTTCAAGAACTGCTTTGGGACATCCTATGACTAAAACAATTGGAGGACTACCAAGACCTGTGTCTCAGCATGTACGCGCCTGGTCCAGGAGACCACAGACAACAGGAGCTCTTGAAAGGTCTGGGGTAGTGGTCTCCCAGGTAGGTCACTCCCACTCCCTGGGTCTGCAGCCAGCAGAAGCAGCTGGGAAGCCACAGCCTAAGCAAGGTTACACCCATAGAACACAGCCACCAAGGGCACCTGGGAAACCTATGAAAACAACATCCCATATTGAAGGTTTTTACCCTCAGGCCTTTCAACCAGCAGGAGCCACAAAAAAACCTTTAAGGCCTGCCTCTCATCAAGGAGCCAAACTGAAGACACAGGATGGGCCTTTAAATCCAGCCTTCCAAAGGTCCAGTAGCAAATGTTTACCCAGCTCTCAGTTCAAACCCAGTCAGCCCAAGCCATCCCAGGTCAAACACTCTCAACCTGTGCCCTCTCAACCCAAACCCACTCAAACAAAACCCACTGAGTGCCACCCCTCCCACGCTAAACCTTGTCCACCCAAACCCACTCAGCCCAAACCATGCCCATCCCAGTCCTCCCAGTGTAAGCCTTCTCAGCCCAGGGCCACTCAACCCAAGTCATCTAAGACTAGTCCTGCACAGGCTAAGGCATACCATGCAAGAGCAGGGCCCAAGAAGGCTGGGAAACATTAAAGTGCTTACTCTAGAGACCTATGAAACATATCCTTAACCCAGACCATTGCTATCATGTGGTAACCTAAAGAAGAGTGGTAGTCATGGTAAGAGACCACTATTATTAGCATGACACAGAAAAAGAAAAGATATACACAACCTAAACGGTATCATTAAAACATTTGTAAGAATGATTTTTTCCAACAGGAAAAATATGAAACAATTAAGAGTAGAATCGAGGAGTAAATAAATGAACTAAATCCATCCCTGAGTATTAGGTGATATATAACCTGAATCCGAGGAATGGGGCTGTTGAGACCACCCCATAAAATAAGGCTCAGGCTGCCTGATTGTTGCAACAAAAATTGCTCTAAATGTTGGCTGCTCCAGAGGTGTCTTGGTCAAAAGTTTGTGGTCAATATCAGCCACTAAGCAAATAACCTTGTTTGTTTGGGGGATGTTTAAATCAACTTACTTGTGATAATAGTTCCAATTTGCTTGGATAATATAACTCTCATTTGACCCTTACATATAGAAATAATGAACTAACAACCAATGATATAAATTATTTTGCATTAACTTGGGTATGATTTGACTATGTTTTATACTTAAAATGTTTGTAATAGTTAAGATAATTTGGCTTATTAGAGGATCTTATACATTGTCCTCAAGATTCCAACTTAAAATGTATACTTGAGTTTTTAATTTTAGAGTTGTGACTTTTTAAGTTGAAAAGATTGAGATAGGTTTACAAAGCTTGTAAAAAGCATTGCAATGTTTAACAGAACTTAAGATTTACAAAATTTACAATTTTAATTCATTGGATTCATTATTATCCTAAACATACAGGTAAGTTCTGCTAATTAGAAGGATAAGTAAAAGGAATGTATTAAATTTAGAATATTTAAACAAAGTTTAATTGTAAATGACATCAAATATTATTAAAAGGTCACTTTAAAGATTCATGTTAAAATTCACTAGATGTAGAAATAAAATAATAAGATTTGTAAATTGGATTAAGACCTCTGGTTTTTGGATTTTGATTTTTAAAAAATTAATACTAATTTTTAAGTACTAAAATAACCCTGCTTGTCTTTCCTGGGTTTTTTTTTTTTTTTTTTCTTTTTTGCCTTCAAGGACACCAAGGGAAAAAAATCATATTGATGCATAGTTAAGAAATGATCTTTAAAAAGGAATAACTAATCTCTGAGAACATTCTCATACTATAATAGGTATCCTTCATTTGTGCCTGTTTTAAGCAATTAATATTGAGTATTTAGAGGGTGCTAAATCTCTAAAGGTTATTGAAAGGATGAAGAAAGAAGGGACTATGCATGTAGATTTTTCTATTTGTCTTTTCAAGAGAAAAAGCATAACTATCATGACTACAAAATCTTTGATGTTAAAGTGGAGCTTCTCAATGAAAATAATCTTTTTGTTGTTTAAACTTTTGAAATGAGCAATATTAGTGATGTTTTAAAAATGTTTTTCTGAACATTTCTTCAAGATTAGTTATTGGAGGAGAGAACTTGTTGGGCTCTTTGTCACCAACAGATTCTATGTCAGTTTGGGTCATGACAATACATATGTGGTTCATTCAAATCGGACACCTTTAGGAGAGTTTAATAATGGGACTATTTATAAAGGGCTGGACAAGAGGTATAAACAGTGTAAAAGAGAGGGCAGCACACTGGATGTGAGTGTGAGGCACATTGTCACCCCAAGATCTGAAGGGAGAGAGGGGGTCAGTGCTTTCTCCAGTCAGAAGAGCTGTGTAGGAAGGGTCTTGGGTCTGGCTGGTTGAGGGGGACAGCAGGCTACAGTGACCCACAGGGAGTGATTCCGGGGAATAAATATTTACTCCACACCCGATCTGATGGTGCATCCCCTTGGCCAAAGCCAACCAGAAACCAGGAAACAAGGAACCCACTTAGCCAGTTCATGTTGATCAGTCTTAGGGTTCAGAGCAAGGTGGAGAGTGAACCTGGAGGGGCAAACAGATGGCACTTAACAGATTTCTCCCTTTCCATTTCATTCTTCCTTCCTTTTCTCTTTTCTCCCTTCTTCCTTCTCTTGCACTTATTTATTGAGCATATATTATGTGTAAGGCATTGGAGCAGGAACTGAGGAGACATGGAAAGAGAATGAGAAATCCTACTATAGTTGTGAGACCCTATAAGGCTGTTTCCTCTTTATTATAAAACTATAAGCTCATTGGGGTGCCTGGGTGGCTCAGTCAGTTGAGCGTCCGACTGCTGATTTCAGCTCAAGTCACGATCCCAGGGTTGTGGGATCGAGCCCTTCATCGGACTCTGTGCTGAGCATGGAACCTACTTAAGATTATCTTCCTCTTGGGAAATACATATCAAAACCACAACAAGATACCACCTCTCACCTGTCAGAATGGCTAAAATTAACCACTCGAGAAACTACAGATGTTGGTGAAGACGCAGAAAAGTGGAACTCTTTTGCACTGTTGGTGGGAATGCAAACTGGTGCAGCCACTCTGGAAAACAGTATGGAGTTTCCTCACAAAATTAAAAATAGAGCTACCCTACGAGCCAGCAATTGCACTACTAGGTATTTATCCAACGGATACAGAAATGCTGATTCAAAGAGGCATATGCCCCCTCCCCAATGTTTATAGCAGCACTATCAACAATAGCCAAATTATGGAAAGAGCCCAAATGCCCATCGACTGACAAATGGATAAAGAAGATGTAGTATATATACACAATGGAATATTACTCGGAGATCAAAAAGAATGAAATCTTGCCATTTGCAACAACATGGATGGAACTGGAGGGTATTATGCTAAGTGAAATAAGTCAGAGAAAGATACCATATGATTTCACTCATGAGGAATTTAAGAAACAAAACAGATGGACATAGGGGAAGGAAAGGAAAATAAGATAAAAACAGAGCGGGAGGCAAACCATAAGAGACTCTTAAATACAGAGAACAAACGGAGAGTTGCTGGAGGGGAGGTGGGTGGGGGGATGGGCTAAAGGGTGATGGGCACTTGGGAGCACACTTGTTGTGATGAGCACTGGACATTATATGTAAGTGATGAATCACTAAATTCTACTCCTGAAACCATTATTACACTATATGTTAACTAACTTGGATTTAAATAAAAATAAAAAAAAAGATTCTCTCTCCCTCTGCCCCTCTCCCCCTCTCACTCTTGTGCTCTGTCTCTAAAATAAATAAAATGAAAAAACCCCCACAAAAAACCTATAAGCTAATTATATATAGTTTTGAAAATGCAAAAATAGACAAAGGAATATAAAAATAGTCTGCAGTCTCTTAACTCAGAGGGTAATGTAGCCCTCTGACTCACTAATAAGATTTTCATAAATTTTTTCTATTTGTGTATATTTATAGACAGCACTCAGTTACATATTCAAGTCTATGCTATGGTTGAATGTGGCAAAATCAAATAAGGGAATAGTCTAGTTTGTTTTGGGACAGGCAGTATAAGTATAGTCTGTTTTGGGACAGGCAGTATAAATAGTATAAAATATTGGTTTTCCAGACTTAAGAAAGTCTGAATTCAGGACATGAAATATAGTTAAAGGGCATCTTTGTATAATGCACAAGTTCAAGTGTTATAAGTCAAATGTGCAAAAATTCAGAACCACTTGTTTATATGTGTGTCATTTACTAAATTGAGAGCATGCAATTTGTACTTGGCTTTTTTTGTTGTTGCTATTAGCAGATTGAAGAGTCTACCTAATGACGCCTCTTTCAACACCTGAAAATCCTTTCTTAAACACCTTAAGTCAATTTATATTTTTTACAAGAAAACCAATAAAGATTACCTTTTTTAAAAAACATTGAAAGAGTGTGTTCTTTGTTGAGATGCTGGAAAGGAGTATATTCCAATGTCATACAAAGTCTGGCCATAGGGACAAAGCTGCCTCATAAATCACACTAGCCTCATAAATCTGTGTTTTACCTACATGCATGGTGACTTCTGCATTTCTTTATGTCTTAGAATTTTTTATAGTCTCCTTCTTGGTAAGGTATAGCTCCCTTTCTGATGTTTGCTATATAGGGTCCATGTAAGCAAAGTGTCTGTTGGGGAAGATAAACATGACACTGACTGCCAAGGATTTAGAAATCTGATTTAATGGGTGCTTCTAAGTGGTAATTGCTTAAGGGTAGTTCTTAGTGTTTGTTAGGGTAAAGCCTAAGTAAGTTGTGATAGCAAAGGCAAGGCAAAAAATATAGTGGCTTAAATAATATGGGAGCTAATTTTTCTTTCGTGTATATAACAATACAGTCTGTCTAAGCTGATGGAGCAGCTCTTCTCCACAGGGCTCATCAAGAACTAAGTTCCTACCACCTCGTTACTCCATTTCTTTGGACATTGTCCTTTTCTGTATGATTGAAGTCACTCTCGTTACCTTGATGCAATTCACAGAATGTGAGAAAAGCCATATTCCAGAGAGTAGCCTGACTTAAGTTAGGGATGATTTGAAATTGTGTACTGTCTTTCAATCACATTCCATTGGCCCACACTTGGTCATATGGCCACATGTAGCTGGAAAGGAGGCTGGGAAATGCAGTCACCAGGTGGGTGGCCATGCATCCAGGAAGAAGAGAAGAAGGAGCACTTTGCCTAAATATCACAGAATATCAAGAACATCAGAGGCCCAGGGGCACCTGGGTGGCTCCATCGGCAGAGCATCTGATTTCAGCCTAGGTCATGATCTCGCTGTTCCCAAGTTCGAGCCCTGTGTTGGGCTCTGTGCTGACAGCTCAGAGTCTGGGGCCTACTTCAGATTCTGTATCTCCCTCTTTCTCTCTGCCCCTCCCCCACTCATGCTCTGTTTCTCTCTCTCTCAAAAATAAATAAAAACCTTAAAAACTTTTAAATAAAATAAGGTTGCTACTGTGATCTGGGTATTGTCTGCTCCTGATCCTAAATTATACACAAGGGCCATAATGTTTTCTATTATTCTATAATAGAAATACAAACTAGACTATTCCCTTATCCCAGGTATTAGCATTCT